TCAAACCCATATGGAAGCTCCAGCATTCTAATATGCGTTATCATCAACAAAGAAAACCACCCAAACTTAAGCAAAAATCACATGAAAGGCACTCTTCTGGGTAGCATGACAAGGAGCTCATGTATGTGCCCACAGTTCCACAAAACTTACTAGAAGTGGCAATATATACTCTGCATATAATATATATACATATCATCACATATCTATCCCTGTCCGCGAGAATGATTTAAACAATTTATGTATCAAATTTTCCAGGAAGGATGGTGCTAGAAATACCAGGGTCTGACCGTGTTTGTTCCTTTCCACTCCGAAGCCTGGCAGTGGCACTCCTGGCTCAGAAGCACATTATTCGGCCTTGGCGCTCCACGCATTCGCCACGGGATGCGTTTGATGGACGATGTCACGATTTTCTCCAGATCGGATGGCTGAGGATGTTTTTTTTTGGAGCTTCAGACAACTAACATCAGTGTAATTGGCTCGTTCAGTGTAGAGTCGACATCCAAACTTTGGATTTGAGACTTCCTGCCAATCAGTCCGATCCACCTGAGGTCGCTGGCACAGGTTGTGTGCCGTTCAGCCGCAGCCCCGCGCAGGCGGCCAGAACCGCCATGGCCGTTCTGATAGGGACCGCATGGTGATGCAAAGAGACAGAAACAATATCTGACCATTGTGGGTCGATCTTCTTATTTTAGAGCTCTACTACCACATTTGTTTGGGTGTACTCTTTCAGTTCTAGAGCGTTCTATCACGGTCCGAAAAAGCCAAACTTGCACTTCAACATCTTCAACCACTGCCAAACATATTTTGTGGACCAGGGGGATCAACCAGCCGGCCGAAGGGCTCGGAGAGCCTGATGGTTGAACTGTCAAAGCCCATGGCAAGAAATCGATAGAAATATAGCTCAAGAAGGTCCGAATCTGTACGTCTCAGCTTGAGCCCCATCTCCCAACATTTTGCGACATTACGAACTGCTTCCGTGGTCTGGACTCGCATCGCGGTCGAACCCAATCCGAGCGAAGCGCGACCTGCGTCGTTCCTGAGCGAAAGGACTTGAGACCCGCTGGCGCCCACGCTTGCGCGGCCCGCCCCGGGCCCCGATACATCCTCTCTGCCTTTTTTCGATGAGAGGAGGGCAAAGGGCAGGTCGCGCCGAAAAGAGAGGGGACAGCGGACCGAGACACTGAAAGCCCGCCAGGCTTGGTGAAAAATCCCGTCTTCCAGGTGCGAAGCTTCGAGGTCGAAAACGCTCCCGTGTCTCACGATCCGTGCTACGCAGAGCGTTTTCCGTCTCAGAGGCCAGCATCAGCAAAGGCCTGCATTCGGAAGTCTTTGGGGGCAGCGCCCGAGTGTGTCGATCAGTGCAACATGATGGCTTTATAGGAGAAGACACACCCGAGATGAGACACTTGAAAGAGCAGGGGACCTTGGGATGATCCTTTGTTGTGATCCAGTCCATAAATTTGGAACCTCAAGCGCTTCCAAGACAAAAAAAACACATGATTCATCATGAAGTCTCATGCAGAAGCATCAAGCTGCGCCGGGAAAAGGCTGCTGGACTCTCCAACTGTTGGGGCTCTCCCACCCACCTTCCTCGCAGGGCCCACCTGGTCAGCCTCGGCTGCTGCGGGCTGTGCTTCTGCCAGCTGCCGCAACTTCTGCTGGTCCTTCACAAGGCTGGCTGATGCCGGTGGTCAGGGAGCTCCCACATCTCAAGTCCAAGAAAAAGGCAAAAAAAACATAAAACAAGAATGGTCTGATACATTTCAATCTTGAGACCCAACCCACGGACTGCTTCTCGCCTTTTTTCACCTGTCTCAGCTCAATGGGGGGCTTCCCACCGCGCCCGTTGGACTCGGCCTCTGCGGAGGGCCCGGGAGAGCCCATTAACAAGGCGCCCACCACCTGGCATCGGCCGAGCTGCTTGAGAAGATCGACCCACATCCCCCGGCCGGTCCCTTTACGAAAGGTCCCTAGGTTTATGGGATGTTGTTAATTTTTTGTGTCTTTTACAACCAGGAGAAACATGGTGGATTGGATAGATTCCTGAGACATGCCCTGTGTATCCCTGTGTTGATGAATCAAATCACGATCCTCAACTTAGGGTGGTGCTGGTAGGGGTTTTCCATTGTAAATCCTCAGATGTCCTTTTGAGCATCTTGGAGGAAACAAACAGGTACTTTGTTGCAAGAAAGGCGCTCCACCTACCTGGACCCTCGAAAATAGGACGTGTGACATGACTATAACAAAACAGGTATTGGTGCCAATGTTCCGAGGTACGACTCCAGGTACATTTCGATGACCTGACCGAAGCAACAATACCGCAACACCCCGGAGAAAGTCATGGAACGCAATCTTGAGGAGACACCCCAAAAGTGCTATATAAACACCTGACCAGTTTTGATGTCGATGACTTGTGTCACTCAGGTGCTCTTCGGTGACTCAGGCGATGCACCTCGTTCACCGGGTTTGGGTTCAGACGCGAACTTGTGAAGGCAGCTCCTCATGGAAGACACTACTAGTATCCTGCGAAAACACTTTTCTGGAGTGATCACCAAACTGGAAGGGCCAGCAAGCACTATAGATCAACACATGCAAGAACAGCAAAGCACAGCAACACATGGTTTTCCTTTAGTCTGGGTATTCCCTTGGCGATGGGATCCACTATCCACCAAAAGCTGCTTCATGCTCAGCCAAACTTCTACACCGAAGGAACTCAGAAGGAACTCTGAACCATCCCGACATTCTCTTCAGTGTCTGTCTTGTCGACATTCAGAACGCTCCCATCCCGAACGGAGCCGACGAGGGGAAACCCCGCCCAGTTTTCAAGCACGGGGAACTCCTCCCAGAGCGGGACAGCTCGGTCGGACAAGCTAGGCTTTGCTTTCATCGCCTTTTGGAGAAAGGTCCACAGTGGCCGACCCAAAACAGAAAGGACCAGCACGGCGCCTTGCCCTCCCGTTGCCAGATGGCACCAATGGACCTGACGGAAAAAAAACCCAGTCCACGGAGTCGATGGAGGTCGGTTGGTCAAACGAGCTGAGAGCGAGCGAGCGTTGTATCAGTTTAGTTCATCATCATCCTTGCCTTGAGATTGTATATCCCAGACACTCCATGGGACTGGCGTATTTACCTACATTGGGGTGGTGCCAGGGGGGTCAATGTAGGCATGTATGGCATACATGGAGTGTCTGGGTATATACATATACTGTATATCAAACAGTAGACTCGGAACATTCCAAAGCATTCAAACACCGTTTCTCCCAACAAGTCAACAAATGCAACATGTCTCACTGGCACTGGCCGGTTGAACACCCTGCTCAAACCCACCCGCCGTGATCACCCGCGGGTAGAGTCACCCACCGGGGCGTCACCTGTGACCAACCTCACCGGGTCTCCGGGCGAGTCTCTCTTCCTGGTCACCTGACAATTCTCCGACCTGTCGCGGGGTATCGGAAACCACCGGTCCTGGACATGACTGGACTGTGGACGTCTATGATTGGCCCAAGATGCTCTCCTGCCGCCACTATACATATATAAACATGTTTTTAAACAAGAAAAAACGGTGGGCACCTGTGGACATCCAAGCAGCTTGCAAACAGTTGGAAACGAGGTCCATTCACTTGCATGCCAAAAGGGCTTGAAGCTTGTCAAGACTGATGATCAGAAGTGGAACTCAGGAGTTCAAAACGGCTGAATGAATTAAAACAATAACAAGACCATGCGCCCAGTTCTGCTACGTTGTGAACATATAGTAATATATAATCATGAGAAACAGGAGCAGTGCAACAAAAATGCAACACAATGTTTGGTAACGCCCGGTTCACAACTCTGGAGGACTAAATTGAAACATGCCGAGACATCTGAAGGGGGCATTTCTCCTGCTCTGTCCATGTTGTTCCACATATTTAGACGTATATTATACATCTGAAGGGGGCATTTCTCCTGCTCTGTCCATGTTGTTCCACATATTTAGACGTATATTATTTTGTTTGTTTAGATGTGTATTTTTGTTCTCGCGCGCTTTTAACCTTTCCTCCACTTTGTGAGGAGTGATCTGGCTGAAGCTCCGAATATCGCTTCAGCACGTCGAACCAGCCCATCTCACCACACGTGGTGCGTGGTGTGTGGTCTCCCAACAAGGTGATGACATGACATCTGTGTCCGGGAGTCTCAGCTCTTACATGAAAACACATTGCTACAAAATGCTACAAAAGTAGCTGCGGTTTACGATCATGCCTCATGCTCAAGGCTATTGTCGAACACGGCTTCTTCTCTTCTTGAAAAATGGTATCATGTAATAACAGCCGTCTTCTCGTTGGTCTGGCGCTGGAGGGCAGCTTTTGTGTGCAAGCAGAATCCCACGCAATAACAGGGTGCAACTCTGATTGTGGACAACGAATGATTCCAGGCAACGACTTGAACACTCTTGAGAAACAACAGGGTCAGGGCCAAACAGGGATTCTCCCCCTTCCGCTTCAAAAACTTATGCTCCCTTTTCGTTTGAAAAGGCACTCAAAACACATGAGGAGAGCGGATCAAAAGCACATGTGCAAAGCACGTGCTGTACGTATGTTCGTTTATATGTTCTGACCCACAAATCAGGCATGTTGGATTCCGACTCCGTGATGACATGGTCAACTTTTAAATCCACCAATCTCCTTTCTCCGCTCTCTCCTTTCCATCTGGACCCGATCCGGACAGCATCCGGATTGCCATGGTTTAAAGCTGATAGGCCAGGGAGTTGCTGGAGTTCGTGACCTCTTTGGAGTCCCTCAATGACCTTGAAGGAGGCCGGTTAAACCGACCACGCTGGGATCTCAAGTTTGGCGACTTTGAAGGTCCTAGTGTGTCCTGGTGTGTATGCATGTATAGTACTTTATACATTAAACATGAACAAGAACTATAGCAACAAATAGCTACTAGTAGCTTCGTGCTCCTGTAGCGCACAACAGTGCACTTGTGCACTCCTAGTGATGCACTCAGCTTGGATCAGCGAGATCTCAGCGGTCCACCAACTCACGGAGGTTGCGGAGGACCGTTTCCTTAAACTCAGTTTGCTCCTCTCGCAGCTCCTGCCCAGGGCACTTGCGGTGTTGGGCACTTGGAAAACGTTCGATTTGTTTACACAACGGTACCAGGTTCTCACCCTAAAAATGGCACCGGTGTGAAGAAGAGGTCTAACGTAAACTCTGCTTGCCAGAATGTTCCCAAATGAGGTGTGGTTGGTATGTCCATGGTTTGGTGGTCGTTGGGGCTAGATATCATATGAGCAATATCATATACATAATCCCGCACTGACAAAATTTATCTGTGTCATGTTAGTCATGTCCAATAACAAGACTCTGGTCTGCTTCTGCGCTTGTCATGAACACTTCGACTTGAGTGGTGCAGTCAGTCTGTTGCATGCAAAGAAACGCGTTGATTAGAGACAGCCTACGTACCTGGTTTCCAACATTTCGTTCCGGTACATAGCAAGTGAGGTGGATGTTCGTCCTTTTTGGATTGAGGTTGAGATGATTTTTGGAACGGATGGCCCAAACACGAAAGTTCGGCTTTTAATCATTGCTGAGTGCTGCATTTCACGGAAACCAAATTTTGTGTTTCCACACAGTGTTATGAATTTTTAGCCCGTGCATGAGCCCCAAAGAGCCTCATGCACATGCGCAGCATCACAGCATCACATCTCGTGATCACACCGGTGTTCTAAGCGTTTTTCTCATCTTATTCCCCAAATGCTTGTGAGCACACCCCCAAACATGTTGGAAATAATTTCAATTATGTACTTTAGAATTATATCTAAACAGTTCTGAATGAAATAGCCGTGGGCACTGCTGTGTTCACTGCTGCGGGCCGCAAAACAACTAAACAGCCCCAAACAGTCCCCAATGGAATGCTTTTCTCTGTGAAACACAGAAGTCTTGCACTGAAAGAACTGGTGCCTAGAGCTATTCAGGGAAAACAAAGAAACAAAACTGGTGCTTCAGATTGCTTCAGGGTTTCTGGGGGGGCTGGGGATTGGCGGTCCCATTCCGGTACCCGGTCCATGATGAGCTGCTGCAGGGTTTGAGTGGCCAAAGTTGTGGCGACCACATCACCTGAGGCCCGGACGCGTTTGGAAACACGCGGGTGTTGCTTGGCAGCAAAGTTGAATCCTCTTAAATCATAAAACCAGCAGTGATTGAATTTGCCCGGGACATGGATGTGGTTTCGATCGCCGTTGTTGTAAATTGATCTTGGTCTTCGAATGCCGCTCCTTGAAACACTATCGGTCCCCTGCTGCCGATTATGGACCCGGCCTTGAGGAAGACACACCTTTTAATGTTTAGGGAACCAATGAGCTGACCCAAAAATATACAGGTGCGTGCCATAAAGATTCAGGATTTATTCTTTCCAAGAGAACAGTGGTCAATCGGTCCACAAGGTATTCTGGTTCACATCCGGTTGTCCGTTTTCCAGCTATATCGACCAGAAGTGTTATGTCTTCGGGGGGCGGCTATCCCCTGCAGGCAGTGATGGTTTTCCTACGCAAAACTCACTGGTCCCCGACAACTCGTTCGGAAAAGCTTTTTCTCGCTTGACCCGTTGCTGGCTTAGCCAGTTCCTGCCGAGCGAATTAGCAGGAATTTGCGTGCATATTAAACAATATCTGAGATCGAGCTGGCGTTAGAGTCACAGTCAGTCGATTCCGAAATCGACTCCTCTGTCTCCTCATCCTCCACCACTGTCAAGTGTACCGGAAGATGATGCCTTGTAGATCACCCCTCCATGGAGCTCTTGCAGTTCCGCCGAAGCATCCCTCATCCGCAGAAAGACCACCTGGCAGATTCTCACCTGAAGTGCCTCCATTTCTTGCTGCTGCTGGGCAGCTAACACGATCCATTCCACCCGGTGCTTCAATCTCAAGGCTTGCCTCGATGGAAACGCAGCGGCCGAAGCTTCATGCGGCGTCCTGGCGCGAAGGAGGTGGCGCCGGCACCGGCGCCACACGCTGAGTGCTGCCACGGCCGGCCATGGCTGGCCTTTGGCATCGAATGGCTGGCCTCTTGGCCTGAAACGGCGGCCAAGTCGGGCAAGTATTAAAAGCAATTCTCCTCGATAGATATATTAGACTTGTTTTGGACCGGCTCAAGGATCCTGCGGTATGTCAAGGGTCTGTACAAATGATCTCATGCCTTAGTGCACATGTGGAATCTCAGGTGCTGGATTTCAAACTCCGCTTCTGTTTCGGGCTCGGTCTGTGCATTTCTTGCACCTTCTTCGGGTCATGACACCTGCACCCAAGTTCCCACAACGCGTTGTCAGGTGGTAGCATTCACCTGTGGTACCTATGTAGATATGCTCGGGCAAAAGAGGGATCCCCTGTTCGGATCTTGGTGGCTCTAAGTTCAACGTGCGGTTTCGCACCATGGGACCTTCCTTTGGTCGTGGCAAAGACGTAGACCTGGCAGCAGAGCTACTGCGATCTACTTCCTCACTCTCACTGCCAGAGTCATTCTTCACCTTCTTCTTCTTTCCTTTTGGTTTGCTCCTGAAGCACAAAGAAAGAAGGTACTCCAGGAAACGAAGAGCTGCGTAGCCACAAAACATCATGGCCATGAGGAACCAGTCAAAGCCATCCGTCTCGGTAGGCCGCTCTGGTTGAGCTGCTGCAGCTTGAACCATGCTGAACACAAGCACCAATCCCAAAGCTCGCTTGGAGGTCATGCCAATGGGTGCGATGCTCCACAAAGTCTTCTTCCCTTCATTCACTTCCTTCTTGATTTGTTCATCACTCTTGTAGAGGTCGTTCTCATTGACTTCTGCTAAATGCGGCACGCGGCGAAGAACCATCGGATGATTGGCCACATTGCCAAATTCGATGTAGCCTGAGCTCAAAGCCTTAACATCATCATTGGCGAGAGCATAGGTTTGGTGAGGGGATCCGCCAACATGTACTCGGTCGGCGTGAGGATCATGTACCGGATTCGTCCGGTCACTCTGGCTTCCTTTATCGCAAGCACATACAGCCTCTGCTGCTTGTCTTGAGGGACTGCTTTGGCTCCTGTGCATAGCTCCCAGTAGTCTTTGCAGTCCGTTGAGAAGTCAGCTGGAAAGAGGTCGGACCCATTTTCCTGATAGTCAGTCAGGGTCTTCAAACTTGGCTGAGCATCAGGCAGCCACAGTTCGGTCAACCTTGTAGAAACCATACTGCTCAGTCAACCTTGTAGAAACCATACTGCTCGATTCCAAGGCGTTCACTGCTGACAAAGTCTCAGCATGTGAGGTGGAGTAAGAGACTCGCTTGGCTTTCCCACCATGGGCATAGAGGATGTGCCCATATCCACTCAACTGATGCACGGTGTGATCATCACATTCAAGATCATCCTGATGTAGGATGTGCTCAGGAAGCTCATGCATCAAAGCAATGACCACACCTTCTTGAGCGTAAGTGCGTCCTCTTGATGCTGAACTGGCGTCATGGACGCACTGCAAACGAAGTGGTGTCTTTGGTGGAAAGAAACGATACTGCAGGCCTTCAGCACCAACTGATTTGCCAATCGAAGATGGCGTACTTCTTCAGAGCTAACTGCTGATTGCAAAATGCCCACATCAGCAATGATGTCCCAACCTGGTGCTGCAAAGCCACAAAAGTCCTCCCAGGACTGAGCGAAACTGAGTCACTTCTTCCGGCTTCAACTTCCGATCTTCTGCACCTGGTGGATTGTCTGCAGGTTTCAGACGAGATGCAAAATCAGCCCGATCAATCTTCAGACCTGTGGATGTCTGGGAGTATCTTGAGCCACAGTGGACAAAGGGCAGCTTGTCTCGGGAGATCTTGCCAAAACGTTTGGTCATGGCACCATAGAGCTCGTCCAGGAAATAGGCTTTGCCAACTACTGCCAAGTCATCAACATGAGTTGTGAGCACGGCTTTGATCGGTGGATCGACGGTTGGCTCCTTCCCAAAGAAGAAACTGTCGTCCAAGTGACTGTGATGTCCCTTCTGCTCCTTCAGGAAGAGGCCCAGACTCAACTGCCATGCTACTGGTGCATCGTTCAATACAGGCTTGTGACACCATAAGCCGTAGGACGGAATCTTGCATGGTTCCAGGTGGAAGCTGGCATCAACCTTGGCCAAATGGCGCCAGGCATTTGCAGGAGGAATGACCACCACAGATCTCTCAGGTGCCTTGATTCCTTGCTCTCTCAAAATCTCTCTCACTCGGTCGAAGGAGAGTCCCTTGAGGAATGCTGCCGAAACATCCCAGCTTTCAGGGCATAGACCAAGAACGGCTGAGGTTGAGACAATCGTGATGCCGTTGTTGATCCGGTGGCCAAGTCCATGCGCTGAGGATCAAAGCATCCCCGGACGCACATCCGTGACTTCAAAATGCGTTTGCCCAGTTTCATCTTCCAGCAACGAATCCAGATGCCGTCGTTGATCTTTGAGAAGGCACCTTCTGTGACAAATTGCGCCAATTCTTTGGCGTCTGCTTCCTCCACCAAGTCCCAAATCGAAGCTAGGTCTTCTTCTTTCACTGCGTTCTCCTCTGCCAAGGACATGAAGCTGTGGCCACCATAGAGCTCGACAAAGAAAGCACGGGCCACTGAGCCTGCCAATTGAACAAAAGGCTTGCAGTGCTTGTCTTGCAAGTGGTTGATCTCTGATTTCACCCTGGCGTTCACAGCCTCCATGGTCATCTTGGAGAACCAACGTGGCACTGTCAATGTATCAGCCCAAATCTCTGGCTGATGGAGGCGTACTTGGCGACTTCTATCAATCATCCAATGCAGTGTCTGTAAGATCTGCTGTGTAGAGCTGATCTGACTCAAATGTTCCTGCCTTTGCTGCCCCTTCTGGTGTTGGCAAATTTAAGGTTCCCAGCCACTTTCTGGTTCATGACGCTTGCTCGGAACTGGCACGATAGGGTCAACGTCCATGTGCTCTGGAGGTGGTGCCTGAATTGTAGTCGGCCTGGTTGGGAGGTTCAGTCCTCATAGGAGTATTAGAGCGAGGTGCATCAACTGGCTCATCGGGCACCTGCGGGTAGTAGAAGAGGTACATGAAGCATACAGACTCCCAGTGATCTCTGTAGGAGCGCTTCAGCTTGAAAGGCTCATCGTCTTGCTTGTACATCTTGATGTAGTCAGAGGTACCTTTCAACCAAGCGACAAAAGTTCCACAAGTGCCATCAGGTGGCTTTGCTGTGTGAACAGCCTGGCCATAGAGCACGGCGTGGATAGGGTGATTGGTCCAGGAGCTCCACTTTGGAAAAACTGGAAATCAAATGCGACTGCTCATCATTCAACTCCTGAGGAACTTGCTTCCATGAAGTGCCAGATGGAGTATTGATGAGGCGATGCCCAAGAAGAAACTGCTTGTACTGCTGGGAAGCGTCTACCATATGCATCATCTTGTACATTGAACTGCCTGCCTGCTCATCGAGATTGAAGTAGGTGCCTCGGAAAGGTCGCGCGCATCTGATGGGCAGTAGGTATGGCTTTCCTTGGTAGCGAACAATGCACGTGCCATCGTCCTCATTGATCTCTAAGAGTACAGCTGGTCCTCTCCAGGCATTTTCACGATGAATCTCGACCTCACTCACACCAGGCGTCAACTCTGAAGTATCAACTTTGTGCGGCCGAGAACGAGTTGCCCGGGAGATCCGGTCTTCAGCTATGGACTGCTGAATTGCCACCATGGAGATTTGACGGAGCCTCATTGCAGATTCAAACACTGTCAAACTTGAATCTGTTGCTCCAGAGACAGCTGTCAGCGTGGGCGCCTCAAACTCATACAAGGATCGTGGAAGAACTCCAAAGACGGCCATGCAAGGAGAGTAACCGCCATAGGTCATGCAGATGTTGTGACTCATTGCGGCTTCAGCTGCAATGTCAGCATCCTCTACGATCATGCTTTTACGTTCACACTCTGCTTTGACCTTCATCATGGTCAACTTGGTCAAGGAGATGTGGCGTTCCACCAGTCCTGTTCCAGTCTTCTGCTTGGCGGCTGATCCACCGGCTGTAGTGCCTTTTGGATTCCTTTCAATGCCCAGGCGCTCGAACTCGATAGCAGCTTGTGGAGACATCAGGCCAGTCTCCTGGTCAGAGGT